TTTGCGATGATGATTTAAAATTACCTTGTGAATGATCCTGTGACGTTTGCGATGGTGATTTAAAATTACCTTGTGAATGCCCCTGTGGCGTTTGCGATGATGATTCTGAACTTGTAGAAGTTGGTAGTACTGGATGATTGACATGTGATGACTCCGGTACTATCATTAAACGTTGTGGCAGTGTTGGACGTGATGATAAGTCATGCTCTTCGATTTGATACTTTTGCTCTCGTGGTTGCGTATTCTGATTGTAGTTAACTAGCGACTGTTGTGCATATGCTTGTTGATAACCTACTTCTGGACTTTCCCTATGAGACGTTGAACTCTGTGGAGGAGTTACGATGCATTTATGAACTGCCTCCTTGTGTGGTTTTTCCTGTAATGGTACTAAGTGTGATTGTGAATTACTTTGGTGTGGCATATTTAGCGTTGGTAGTATATTTGTTCTTGGCCTACTAATTGCTGTTGCTTGTTTTGCGACTGGTGGAATCGGTTGCTGGTTACTCCTCAGTTGGATATGATGATTCGATTTAATGCTTTGATTTTGGACTATACTTTCTTGCATCAGTTTTGGTTGACTGGATTCTAATTTGACGGATAAAATGTTTGGGTGGTTGTCATTCCGCCTGGCGTGACAACCCCCAAAGCGTTTCCCGATGGCCTCTGATGATTTCTGTATGTTGGATTTTCCCTGCAGCACTCGATCGTTCGACGGCCTATAGTACCACAACTCCAGCAAAAAAGTCTCCTAGGCTTTGTGCATTCTCGTGCAAAATGATTTCTTTCCCCACATCTACGACAAGCATTACGCACGTCCACCTTTTCGATCTGTGTTCTATTAATGGCAATCGGTGGTGACCAATCAAGAGTGCATTGGCGTTCTCTACTACTTAGTTGTGTAAGACGTTCGAATTCTTCTGCTAGTTTGCTTAATTCTCCCAAGGAGCTAAATTCACGCGGTTTGATCTGGAGCTGATACTCTGGTCTACTATTCCGGTAAATCCGACTTAACTGTTGTCTTTCTGTTAACTCAGCATATCGCATCAACTCTTGTAGTGCCAGGGCATAGTCTTGGAATGACTCCGTCTTCTTCTGGTATTTGTTCCGAATTGTGTCTTCTAATTGCTCTAAATAATTAGAAGGCAAGAAAAACTCTCGAACATCCTGAACAAAACTTGACCAGTGTGTCCACTTCCGATTGTTATTCCGGAACCACATTAGGGCTTTTCCTTTCAGTATTTCTGGCATAAGTCTTGGCAGAATGTCTCGGGGAATGTTATAAGTTTCGGAGAGTGTTTCCAAATTTTCCAAAAATGGTAATGGACTTATTTCACCATTAAAATGTACCTCCCAATTACGCACTTGATTGGCGATTCGCGCTATGTCTTCAAATTTGCTAGTCATCATGGTTGGCTCTGAAATGTGTATTTTTGGCGTGTCGATTTCGATGCCTGGAGGTTTGGGTGAGAGACTGCGATCGTATTTAGTTTCCATGTCCATAATTATATCTAGTAATTTTTCCGTGTACTCCTCAGTTGCTAGATGATCACGTACACGTTTCCGTAGTTCCTCAACGGTTCCTGATGTACTGATCTTAATTTCTTCTAGAATTTGAACCAAATCCTCTTTACGCGCTATCGAAATCCATGCTGTTTTGACCATGTTACCTCGTGTACCGTCTAATGACTCTTTGCGTTAAACGTTTGTACACTTACTCGTCCTGTTCCTAGTTCGTTCTTTTCTAAAACACGGTCCCCTGTTCAACGTTCGTTCTTTTCTAAACAACGTCCCTGTTCAACGTTCGTTCTTTTCTAAAACCAGGTCCCTGCTCGGGCGCCAATTGTAACGACACTTTTGGTGACGTTCAAAAATTTTTAGTTTTTGCTGGGGTATCCTCAGCCGTCGTCCAGAGTCGTGACAATATATTTATAATTTTGCCGAGACGTTGGTTTTAGAAGGAAACAGAACGTGATTTATATGTATAAATTATATATATATAACTTTATTTATTTCATAAAACTTATGATTAACAAAGTTTAATTAAAATTCATTGGAAACATTTCTAATAATAAATAAAAAAAATTATGTTGATGCCAAAATTTCCCACTTCTCCATATACTCCTTGTTAAAAGAATCTTAGCAAAACCCGTGTGACTTCTTAAGCCCCTCTTCTGTTGTTAAAAAAAATAAACAAAACGTTTCCTCCGTGCTGTAAAAAACTATTTGACCGAATAAGCCAGGTTAAAAAAATATACATATAAGACAGGAAAGGAATTTTACACTATGTTTGACTCAAAGAACCAGATTTGTGGCACAATGTGCCAGATGACCAATAGGCCAGTGTACTTGTTTCAGGAAAAGTAAAATTTCAAGTTTGGTAAAATTTACCAGAAGGCCCAATGAGCCAGAGTACTTGCTCTTTCACTTGTCGCAAACCAAGTCCCTGATTATATAAAATGTACCTCCTTTTATATCGAGCATACCGGAGCTTTTTGGTGTAGCGTACCGGTATTCTTTGCTGTACTTGACTTCGCCGTGAAGTTGAACTTTGTGTTCTACTGTTTTCTCACTTCTTCTGCTTCGCCGTGATTTTTAGTACTTTTACTACGCGCCGTGTTTCTTTATTTCGTGTGTTATTCCTTTTTAGTTTATATTATATTAAATATTATTATATTAAAAGTAAAGTGTTTTAATACTACAAAACAAGGTATTAAATATACATATATATTCTGTGAATTTAATATTATCTAAATGTGAACAGAAAAGAAATATTAAAAGAAATAAAATTGATGTTGGCGTGCTTAGTTTTGTTTTGTTGTGTTTTGTTTATAAAAATAAAATTGTACAAACATGAGTGTTAAATTGTTTTGTGTATTATTTTATTTATATATATTTCAAATAGATATTTGTTCAATAATTAAACGTGTTTTCTGTAATAAGTGTTCAGTGTTGTTGTGTTTAGAATTTCTTTACACATTTTGTTTTCATTCATAAAATTTGTAACAAACAAATTAAATTTTTTTCCGTATATTTTAGATTCTGCACATGTATCGATGCCCGCGGCACGTTGGCTTCGAGGATCACAGGTAATGTCCATGATATGTTGAATAACATTTTAATTCAATTTTATGTTTTTTCCAGCTAAGCCTACTTCAGTTATTTTCACGTGAGTTAATAAATATATTATGTGTAGTGGTGGCGGTTATTTAACACACAGACTGTGTTTTTCTCTGCTTCTTGTTTTATGTAGCACAGAAATTTACTTTGTAAATTTGTGTCGTTACAATCGGCTATCCTGACATGGAGAGCACCTGATCTCCTTGTTTTTATTTTATTTTTTCATATAATTTTACAAATAGTTTTAAAACTCTTTTTTTCTCTTTTTTTTTTTTATTCCTGGTTTTTATAACTTTTTAAGTTAAGTAAGGTCGAATATTTGTAGCAGCCCAAACTCCTTTGTAAGGAATTCTTGAATGCTGAAAGCCCTCCACATCCCCGACAACGTATCTATCATGGCGCAATACTTTTATTATTCTATATGGGCCTTTGAATTTAGGAATTAATTTTCTAGGAATGCCTACATTTGAGTCAAAATTTTTTATCATAATAAAATCGTCTACTTTGTATTTGTGTGAGACTTGTCGTTTTGAATTTACATACTTTTCGTTATACAACTGGACTTTCTCTTGACATTTAGCAGCTTTTTCTCTTATTTCAACTAAGTTCCTATCTGTCTTTTTATCATTCAATTCTTTTAATCGTTCTTTCAACACGTCCGCTCCATTACCTTTTTGATCAATTCCAAAAAGCATTTTACTGGGGTATTGATTTATTGATCTTTGTTTTGTGTTATTTAGGGCGTGTTCAACAGTTTCTACTACTACGTCCCAATGCAGGCCTTTTTCTGGTTCGACTAACTTTGCGATCATTGGTTTAATGCTCCTATTAATTCGTTCTACTTGCCCATTGGCTTGCGGCGACCCTGTTGCTATATTGATATGTTTTACTTCATTTTCTTCCAAGAAGCTCTCAAATTCTTTGGATGTAAAACAGCTGCCTCTATCGGAAATAATGCATTTTGGTCTACTATATGCTCTGAAATAATCTTTTAACGCCATTATTGCCTCTTTTGTATTAGTAGTCTTAGTGGTATATAGCCTTACAAATTTAGTGAATGCGTCTACTACAACAAGAATAAATTTTTTTGATCTACTTTTATCGACAGGTCCATAGTGGTCAATGTGAACGACTTCAAATGGTGCCGATCCTTTTGGTATACTGTGCAAGAGCCCTTCATTTTTGTCATGTTTGTCTGAATATGTAATACATTTGAGGCAATTTGTTATATGCTGTCGAGCTTTTGCTCTAATTTTCGGAAACCAGTAACTTTGTGAAATTAAGTCTGTCATTTTGTCCATTCCTATATGGCCCAATTCATCATGGTATTTGTACGCTACTTGGTGCTAACCCAGATCCTTAATCTGTGTTAGCTTGGTAGCCAATTTTTATGTGTAATGTAGTTTGAGCACTTGTAACCCAAACTACTTGTATTTTCTATTTTGATTAGTTTGAGCACTTGAAACCCAAACTAACCGATGCGAGAAAGTAAGAAAGTTATAATTGATTTTTCTTTTCCTTCTGAACTTTATTAACATTATTTCTTATATTTATACAAAATTATTTTATTAACAAGCTATTAAATTATGCATTAATTGACAATAAATATTAATGCATAATTCACAAATAAATAAATTTGCCTACGCTGTGCTGACATAATTATAGGCCAACATATTACATACTTTCTTCAGTGCATTGACCAACAAGAAAAGCTGATAATGCAAAATTGCACTTTTTGTTGGTCAATGACTGGTCGCAGTGTTGGCCCAAATAATATGTAAACACATGTAACCAAATATCATAAAAAATAAAAATATAAAATAATATGAATTAAATGCAAACATAAACATTCTCCCCGCCGTTGAGTGCCAACTCAACTTGTCCTAGGTTGTGGTCACAGTGAAGTCCAAATTTTGTTGACGTAATTCTGCATTCTGCATATCATTTCCTTGTGTTGAAATTTCGCTTATTGTGTGTTTCTGACATCTGTTATGTTTGGTTTTCCAAGTAATGATTATTATTATTGTTATAGAAATTAACAACGCCAAATAACTTATCGTATGATGATGAATACTGTTTAGTCGCACTCTAAAGGGAAGATATGTCAAGTTTTCCTTAGTCAGCTGGTTTTGTAATTCTGTGAGTTCCTTGAGTTGTGTTTCTACATTATTTGGTGTTGTATTGAAGATTTTCTGCATCTCATTAATGTGTACAACTGTTGATAAGTTTCCAAATCGTGGAAATGACGTGGATACAGTGCTGGAGATAAAATAATGGCCATGTATGGTTATTTCTGCGTTTTTAATGATGCACGTAGGTCCAAATGTAAGCATTCCGGATCCTATCAGTGAGAACTGACTCAAGTAGGTCTCACAGCTAGCTGACATCAATGTTTCGAATTTTGTTGCGTATAGCCACTGGTTCGGGTTGTGTAGTTGTTTCAATGCAATATTTCCTTGAAGTTTTATTATGTTGCATGTTGTTGACTGATTACCATTAAATAGATTAATTTCACATGAATGTACTGATGATGCTATACCTAGTCTTGTTTGTTTATTATCGCAAAGGTATGTATTATCCTTAGTTAAAAAACATTCCCGTAACTCATGGTCATCAAATGGTATGTACTGATCTCGAACAGTGTTGGCTGCCAAGTACTCCACTTCAGTTTCGATAATTATCATGGTTTTGTTTATTACAACCGGTATCGGTGTTGTCTTGAACAATTCAAATTGCTGCTTGTCTAGCAGTGGTATTTGTATTAAAAATAATACATGCTGATTTTTAATTGTTGACTTCACTTTCATTAGCTTGTAAAAATCGGTCAAATTGTCTTCTGTGAACGGTAGTGTACGCGATGTTGGTAAGTGGCCTTTGATTCTGTTGATCTCTTTTGTTAATTGATCAGGAGTTAATAGCAGTGGACTGATTTTCCCATGATGTGTATCTGTAAGCACATCAATTATCTCCGACTGGATGTGTTGAAGATTGGATACCATTAATGTGAGT